TTTGCAGTCCTTGTCTACACAGGTGAGAAGCTTGTCATTGATTATTAGTCTCCGACTGATCTTTTCGGTAAACAAGTATTTTCCTGTTACAAATTTTAGTCAGAAGTTAATTTGTCCTTTGTTCCACTGCAGAATGATAACGGTAGTTAAGCTTTCGACCCCGTAACTTAGAGCTTTAAAACACAAGATATCAATTCTTTGACCTCGCCGACCGTGCTGTTATATATTATGACCGATACATGACCACAGTTATAAATACGTCTACCAGCTCTCATCTACGTGTGAGCAAAAGCCGATGGGTAAAAATCAACATATTTGCGACAGGAAAACTCATGAAACCAAACTGGCCGGGTTGCTCGACAAACTAGTACCCAGGCTCTCGATGAAAATGTACGCCTTTCTAGTCCCCCCTCGCCAAAAAACCTTTCCGAAGACGACTAAGCACTCTTGGACAAAAACGTTACTTAGTAGGGGAGGTAGCAGAAAATTGTTTGATCCAGGTTTAACGAAGAAATTAATCAGAATCGAGTGAGTGAGTGCCATTCGACTGCTTCCTAAGCTCATGGATGACGTCATCCATGAGCAAAAAGAAGACAAGCTTGGGTTGCTGAATGAGGTTTAAAAACGCTTTGTTTTGGAGAAGCGCGAGACTTACAGTTATATAGATAGAATTTCGTACAAGATCACAGTCTCCTGTTTAGTATAATAACCTCTTTTGGTTTCAAAATACTGTATAATTTATAATTTGACAAAAAAGCAGACCGCCATCCTGGAAGCGAGGTCACTATGTATATATGATAAGTTCGAGTATAATCCCGTCGGGGGCTTAGAATTAATGGTCTCTTTTTCCCAGGCTGGCAACTTGTAGAAAAGTCATCTTTAACAAAGACAGATTTTTCTTAGAAAGTGTGTCAGTGTGTCAGAGTTTTCATCCGGGTGTGGGAAACTGGATTGTTGGCGCATGACTTGGGTAGGTTTCAGTGTTGGCTGGTATAAGATAAGATAGAGACAAATCGTATCTGATTGAAAGATGTAACGAAGAAGTTCATGTACACTTAATTTTCCTTCCAGCACTACACAGTCGGAAAGCAACCAATGATGATAATTATTTGATTGTAACGTCTGTATAGACCGTGGAGTTATAAAAAATAGCAATGGATGCTAATGTTTTATGTGGTGAACATAATGGTGATGTTAAACGTGAAGCCCATAATGAAGATGAGAAAAAGTTTGAATATGACAGTATCAATAACAATGAGAATGACAATGGTAATGACGACGACGACGAAGATGTCAAGGATGGCGACGAAGGATACGACGGCGACGACGAAGACGACGAAGACGACGATCACGACGATAACAACGAAGACGACGATCACGACGACTACGACGACGACGATGGCGACGACGAAGACGACCAAGATGACGATGACCACGATAGAGGCGACGAAGGCAACGAAGACGACGAGGTCGGGAACGACGAAGAAATGTACGACGCTGACAACGAAGACGACCAAATACTTTGTAAGTATTGGTCTCAAGTCAGGATGAACGACTATTTTTATTTTATAAATTTGCGAGCGTACTATCACGAGGCTGTTCTCCGAGGGGCTAAGTTACTCACTAGCTATTCTGTGATAGATAGCAAGTAGCGTAGCAGCCCTTGTTAACAAAATGACGGCCGTCCTTGGCGTTTTCGAAGTGTCTGTGAAGAGGATTTAAAGGAAGTTTTGAACGACTAGTAGATTTATACTAAAACAATTAGATTATTCGCTCTCGATTTCTACGCGCGATAGTAGACTCGGGCTGCGCCCTCGTCAACTATCACGCGACAGAAATCTCGAGCTCATAATCTAATTGTTTAATATATACATTTAACGTGTTGTCTGCCGTTATCATGCAAGCAGAATCCACCAACTATCAGTCAATTGCTCACAAAAAAAGATTTTTATTCCTTCAGATTTTAACAACAGCTACCCACACGGTAAAAGCCGTCTTGTTTCTATCACTTC